TGAGATCCAAACAATTAGTCATTTCAGCGAGTTAGATCTATTTGTTTGGCTCTTCTACTTGTGGTAATGGACTTTGTCAAAAAAAAAAAGTTGGCTGAACATTTAATAGGAAGTTGCAGAATATGAAGGAAAAGGATATTGAGCTGTGGCTTTTTTCTCCCTGTCCAAAATGCCCTCATGACTCTTCTACCTTGTGAAACATCTACTCGACTTTAAAGACTCAGCCATTTTATTTTGTGATGCTTTCCCTGCCTTCCTTAGCCCACTGTGATTTCTGTCTTTTCTGACCTTCTAGAGCACATTATTGTCTGTACCGTTCACATATCTTTGTCCCTCAGTCAGTCAATAGTCAACAAACATTTATGCCTTGCTTACTATGTGCTGACACTGCCCTGAGCACTGGGTATGCAAAGAAAGGCAAAAATAATCAAGTGCCTCACAATCTGATGTGTGGCTAGTTATCATTTTATATGTATATATTTTATCTCCTGAGCTAGATTATGAGCTTTTACAAGTCAGGACTGTGCCATGGCAATGCTGTCTACAAAGTTGTCACTTGATAAATATTTGTTGATTGATAGCTTGCCAAATGTTTCACAACAATTGCCAGTTCCAAATCAGGAGTCTGCAAGATTAATGCTGTTGACCTTGATATTTCATAGTCATGGAACAAGTTTGACTTTCATCACCTTCAACTCCTAGTTATCAGTTTTGGGGATTATTCACATGACGCAAGAGTTCTTTTCTTCCTTTGTCATTGCCTCCACTGAAACCAGATATTGGGACCAAACTGAACAAAGGAAAGTCCATTGATATGATAGAGTATAATATATGTGTGTGATTGTAAATGATTTGGTAATTATTCATTATTTTGGATTAAATGAGACACTACTCATTTAACAAATATATGAGTTCCTAATGAGTATTGTAGGGAATTGTCAAGGCTGTTGTTCATTGGAAAGTATGCTGAATGTGAACCCAAGTTCAAATTTGATCTCAGCCATTTACTACAAATCCAAGTCACTTAACCTCACTTTATCTCATCTATAAAATAGAAGGGGGTGGGGAATTAGACCAGATAGCGTCCAAGATCCCTTCCAGCCCTGGATCTGTCATCTGGAGGGAATAATCATTTCTCTCTGGGATTAGTAATACAAGTTTAATGATGAAGGTAGTATTTGAACTTAAAAATGGGCATCCAGCTCTTCTGAAAAACAATTTGGAATACTACTCAGAAAGCATACCCTTTGACTTAGAAAGTTTATTGCTAAGCAGCTAGATGTTGGCTTGAGTGCTGGTATAGTGAGGAAGACCTGAATTCAAATCCACCTCAGATGATTATTAACTGTTTAATGCTGGGCAAGTCACACTTAACCTCTGGTTGCCTCAGTTCCTTTATCTGTAAAATGGGAATAATAGTAGCACCACCCATCTCCCAGGGTTATTGTAAGGATCAAATAAGACAATGTTTGTAAAGCACTTTGCAAACCTTAAAAGATTGTGTAAATACTAGTTTATTATTATTATTATTAATGAAAGGTGTCTTAGTCATTGCAATATCTGTAGCAGCACATTTTTTGAGGTAGTAAAGAACTAGAAACAAAGTAAAAATCAAAGAGCAAGAACAAGAAGGGACATCTGTCGACACCATCGTATTTTACAAGTGAAGGAACTGAAGCCCAGAGGTGTTAAATGACTTTCTCAAGGGCATATAAGTAGTAAGTATAAGGAATTGCACTTGAGCCTCACTCCACTGAACTCAGCCTTAATCCACGGAACTTTTCGTGGTCCTATGCTGCCCATGTAGTGACAGCACCATCTTGGCTAATGGCTAAACAAATTGTGGTGCCTGAATCTAATGACATATTACTGTGCTGTAAGATATGATTATGAGGAGCACGGAGAAGGCATGGGAAGGCTTATATGAACTTGTACAAAGTGAAATGACCAGAACCAGGAAACCACACTGACTACAACAGTGTGAATGGAAAGAACAAAAAATATTACAAAACTGTCTGGTCTCAAAGAAGAGAGGAGAGAATGTCATCCCTACCCGCTTTCCTTCTTTGCAAGGTGGGGTATTATGGATTTGGCATATTGTATATACTATTTGACTTGGTTGATATATTTAAGAGTTTTGTTGAAGTTTCTCCTCCACACCACTCACCCACCCACACCTCTTTGTTATGAGGGATGACTCTTAGGAGAGGGAAGGAAAAGAGATATATTTTGAAAAGTAATTTATCTAGATGGTACAGTGGATAAAGTGCAGGTGATGGAGTCAAGAAGACTCATCTTCCTGAGTTTAAATCTGGCCTCAAAATACTTACTAGCAGTGTGACCCTGGGCAAGTCAATTTCCCCATCTGTAAAATGAGCTGGAGAAGGAAATGGCAAACCACTCCAGTATCTTTCCCAAGAAAACCCCAAAATGGGACCACAAAGAGTAAGATGACAGATATGACACAACAATGATAAAATGATACAAAAACAAATAATATTAATAAACATTTGGTACAAAGAAAAATGGGTATTATTTTAATGTGCAGAGGTGAGAGCTGAATTTTAGACAAAGGGAGCAACTTAAAGAAAGGCAAAGAGGTAGGAAAGTGAGAGCATCGCATTAAGGAATTAAAGGAAACATTAAGGAAAAAAGCCTAGTTTGACTGATACATAGCATGCGTGACTAGGAAAGGTAAAAGATAGGTTGATAAGATAGGTTAGAGCTAAGAATAAGAGGATATGGAGTATTAATAATGCACTTTATACATGAGGCAATGAAGAATTGCCGTTGACAGTTTTCCAGCAGGGAAATTAGTTAAACTAGTGAAAAAAGTTCATACAAAGATTGGAAAAGGCAGCCTTAATGGAAAGAGGGCAGTGAGAAAGGGAGTGGGTATGGGAGACATTGAAGACAAGAGTCTCTAGAACTTTCTGACTGGGTATGAAGGGGTAAGTAAGAGAGTCACCAAGGAAATCTCTTCTACATTCTGACTCTGGAAGACAGGGAGAATTAACTCTGTCCTTATCATTGTTCTTGTGTACTACTACTTGCACTTCATTGGGTAGACAGGATCATATCTAACTTACCTGTCAGCATTATCAGCCAAAGCCCAGAATGGAGTGGGTCTTAGTAAATGAAGTGACCTCTTCCTGTGAAAGAGGTTAATCTTGAGCAGAGTTTGAATCAGCAAAAGGGAGCTTGCAAGCTTGTCTGCTGCCTGTGTTCTTTGTATTCTATAAATAGAAGGATCCTTCATGCTGGCAGTATCAGGACAGCACCTTTCACTAGGATGAAGCCCACTTAAACTACAAAAAAATAAGGAGAAATAATTTTATTTATCATGATAAGCAGTAATAGGCATAAAAGTCTTTTGTCACTGTATATATTGAGTGAATGCCCTTTAACTGACTGTCTGTATGTGACACATCAATCCGTGTATCTTAGCAGCACACAATAATGATGCCCGTGTTTGCTTCTTCCACAATCTTTGTCACTTTTCAAATTATAATAAAGAATACCTTTTCTAATTTAGATTTATAGTGTAAGTTTCTTGGGCATATGAGTATGTTATAAATGGGTCTATCTTCTGTAGTATATTACAGTGTCCTGTATCATTGACTCAAAAAAAATTTTTTTTTACAAGAAGAGCACTGTAACTTCCTGCTTTTGTTGAAAACATTTTTGTTATGCATTTTATTTATATCAAAAAAAGAAAAACCTAACTTATTTAACTTTGTATTTTATAGTTAAATTAGGCTATTTGTGATTCAGAAAGACTTAATTAAAGGAATTTTCTTTAAAAAATGTATCATTGAGTAATTATGGAACATTTACTATTTAACATTGCATTATACAACGTATATTATGGTTTAATTATGTGCATTTATAAATTAAAATGGGAAAAAGTTTATTTTTTAGAAGGAAATATGTATTGTTATCCCCCCAACCAAGTCTCTAGAACACAACAAAAAATTAGTTAAGTATTTAACTAATCAATTTATTGTATAGAAGTAAAAAGCAACTTTGATTTGTAGTAACTACTTTTATACATAAGCATACAGAGTTGGAGTATTGTTTTTGATTTGATTAATTAGTCAGCAGCTCCAGTATGTATTAAAGTAGGAATTAAATAAAATAGAATAAATAACATTAGGAAACAGGGAAAATGTTTTGACAAATAATAAACATACCTGATTTTCAATGTCGTGACCAAGTATACAAAGAAAAAAAGAAAGATAGAGGACAGGGAAGAGAGAAGAGAAAACAGAAAAAGATTTTTGATGATCAAACACTTCTAGAGGATGGAAGATAACCGGGAAGAAGAGGTTGAAAGTTTCAGAAATTCCTCGTGAATAGATAAAAAGCTCTAGCATTTATGGCTTACCTTCTTGTCCCTTTTCCCCCATTGTCTGTCCTTGGCTCTTTCCTTCTCTGACTTAGCTAAGTGATCCAGAGGCATCTTAGATTGCATTTCTATCATCCGAATCTCTCGGCACAGATAACAAAGCTTCTACTGTATTTGACAAATTAAATTAAATTAGGCAGGATCGGAGCCACTGACCCAGAGGTTCCCCACCCCTGAGCTAAACAGAAAGCTTCAACATCATTTTTATATATAAGCATAGAGGATTGTTGCTTTCCTGGTAAAGCATATACAGCTTCCTAAAAGGTGAGATAAAAAAATAGGTGTTTAAAAAAAAAAAGCACAGTTTCTTGAGACCTTTGGACCTACAAAGAAAACTTCTTGTAGGGACCTTATGATGAGCAGTTAGATGTCTTAGAGATACTAGAGAAGAAAGAACCCTAGGACATATGACAATCTCTGTAGCTTCACCCTTTTTCCCTATTAGGTAAAGAGATACAGAAGGTATAATGTAAAGCTTTATCTTTTTATTAACAGGTTCAAAGTTTAACTATAACATTATGGGATGTTAGGATTCTTTTGTTTGAATAGAGTATATCAGGTTGTAAGTTTTTCACCTTTTCTTTTATTTTAGTACAAAGATGCGTTTATGAAAGCCAATCCTGGCTACAAATGGTGTCCTGCAACAAACAAACCTGTAAAATCCCCAGCGCCCACCATTAATACACGAAAAAAGCTGTGGGCCTTTCCATCTGACTCTGGAAAAGATTTACCAAGCCCCAAGAAAGCAAAGACTGAAGAAATGCCTCAGCTTAACTTTGGGATGGCAGGTGAGTTGGGTCTCTTATTACCTCCTCTCCCTTAATGATAGTTATTAAATCTTGACAATATTTCCAATCATGAGAATTGTTATGAGTGGACTAATAAATAGGTAGATCATCTAAAAACAACAAAATGGGACAATCTTATACTGCTCAGCATCAGTGATAAAAATGAGGTTTAAGTTGGGTGGGGATCATTAATGGATGAGAATGTTCACAGTGACAGTGAGATCAAGAATTGCTGATAAGGGGGCAGCTAGGTGGCACAGTGGATAGAGCACTGACCCTGAAGTCAGGAGGACCTGAGTTCAAATGTGACCTCAAACACATAACACTTACTAGCTGTGTGACCCTGGGCAAGTCACTTAACCCCGATTGCCTCGCCAAAAAACAAACAAACAAAAAAGAATTGCTGATATAGAAAACTGAAATCCTCCTGTGAGTAATCCAGGTGTTCGAAGAAACAAAAGAGTAAAGGAAAAAAAAAATTAAGCCTTTCCAATAAACAACCAGATACAACAGTGACAGAATTAAATAGTATAGAATATCTGATTTCCCAAGACCTAGAGGTCAAGAATGTGTCTGTCTATATTGCTAGTCTGAAATAGAAGAGATTATAAAGTATTCCAAGAAATTTGTATGTGTTTCTGCCTGCCTGTTTTCCCCTTCTCTTTTGGGGAAGAGCTTTAATATCCGAAGTTAAACCATTAGAAATAGGAGCTTTCCTTCTGAGTCATGGAATATAAAAGCTTTTATTAGCTTATGTAAAGAGAAGCTTTTACTTACTCTGAAACTTGTCCAAAACAAACCTTGCTTGTCCTGGGTGCTACCATATTACAATCTTAGATGGAAAGTAGTATATGAGGTAAATGAGAGGGTCAAATAAAATATGATAGGTATTGGTCAGAGAGGAGATTATGTTGCATTATATGTATTTCTTTTTCATAACTATACTTAATTTTCCTTCAGAATCAGAATATTAATTCACTGTTCCAAACTTTCTTTTCTCTTGAAGCATCCCACATCATTCCTTCTCTCCACCCTCCTTTGCTGAGAACTCTGCCTCATACATGCTTCACCAAAAAAAATTAGCCGTTTGGCCAGAGCTCCCTCTTACCCCTTCTTCCCATGTCACTTCACTGTGCTATCATCTCCTTTACTTCCTCCTTCACTTCAGTATCTGACCATGACGTCACTTTTCTGCTTGCTAAAGCCAACCCCTTCAAGTGCACTCTTGATCACTTTCTTCTGGATATTAATATTAGAAGATTAACCCCAACATCATCCCCACTCTCTAATGTTCAGTCTCTTCCCATCTTATGGCTTCTTCATTCATTTGTCTTTCCTAGTTTTAACAAATTCTTCCTAGATTTTACCCTATCCATCAACTATTTGCCTGTATCTCCTCACCTCCTCAGCCAGGTTGATTGAAAAAGCCCTCCACATCTGCTGTTTCCATCCTCTCTCCTTTCACTCTTTTATAAACTCAGCAATCTGGCTGCTGACCTCATTAAACTAACTGCTGAACTCAACAACCAAGAGTTGCCACTGATCTATCCGAAGTTGCCAGTGATCTCTTTTGCCTCCTTATAACACATATGCGTAGTCAATCAAAAAAAGAAAAATTCACACATTTACCATGTCCAAAAATGAAAGTCTCAGTTCTTTACCATAATCCTATCACCATTCTGTGTCTCAGGAATGCTTCATTATCAATCGTTGTCATCATTCATCAACAATAGGTAGGTGGCAATGGATAAAACACTCAACCTGGACCAAGAGCTGAGTTCAAATGTGGCCTCAGACACTAATTAGCTGTATGACCCTAGGCAAATCATTCAACTTTTGTTTGCCTCAATTTTCTCATCAGTAAATATGGGGATAATAATAGCACCTAATATCTGAGGGTTGTGAGGGTCAGTTGAGATAATAATTATGAAGTGCTTAGCACAATGTCTGGCACATAGTAAGCACTATATGAATGTTAGCTTTTATCATCATTATTATTATTATTCCTCTGTACTTGTGGTTGAACCAATGATCTTTTAATTGATAAATCTAATAACTTCTTTTTGATCCTTGTTCTCCATGATCCCTCTACAGTATTTGACATCACTTACCACTTTTTCCTCCTAAATATTCTCTCTTCCTTGTGTTTTTATGATTACTTTCTCTGGGTTCCCTTCCTATTTTTTTTTTTTTTGTTCTTTACACATCACAACTCATCTCCAATTTCTGTTCCTTTTAATGTTCCTCCTCCCATCCTCTAATCCTGAGAATCCCTGGCTTTCTTTCCTCCCAACCCCCATATGATAGTGCCATCTCTCTAAGGATAGCTTCCATTTATTTACTTTTTATGTTTTAATTTATACGTGTTGGCACTCCCATTAAAATATAAGCTTCTTGAGGGTAGGCACTGTTTTTGCATTTTCTTTGTGTCCTCAGCCCTTAACACAATGCCTAGAACATAGTAAATGCTTTCAGCAAAGTTCATTCAACAAGTATTTATTAAGCACTTATGTACCAGGCACTAAATATACCTGCTGTAAGGGAAGCCTAGGAAGAAATTAGACCTTCTCAGTAAATAACACATTGTGATGATGATCAATCTTTATATCTCATATTCCTAACAAAATTTCCATGGCACTTGAATATTGAATATATGATAGATCCTATAAGTTCTGTTAAATGAGTTCTAACATTATGATATCATTTTGGAAGAAGTAAAGCTGCATATAGGTGATTTCATGTGTGTATCATATAATTAGCAGTGAGCCCCCAAAATGATACCTACTGTATATAACTTAGACATCGCTTCCTTATTTTATTTGGTTGTTTACCCAAGAGGGGCAGTAACCTGGTAGAATAAATTGGTGAGATTTCAGCTCAAGGCAGCATGCCGAATAGCTGTGGTCCTCAATTGATGCATTACTGAGCTATATGAGGTTTCTGAAAAATAGGGTATTTTTGAATGTTATTAGAAAATCTGAGGCATGTGGATTATTGCCTAACTCAGATATTCCTTTAATAAGTTTCTTGAATTCCACATCATTGGTTGCCAGTGTGTTCCATTGTCTACCTATTCATTTAGCAGCAATTCTAGCTCTAGTTCTGGCTAGATAATTTTTTTTTTAACAGTTCAGTTATTTTATGTATTCACTGCTGCTCTTCAGGAAGATGGCAATAAGGTTAGCTTACCTTCATATTGTTCTTGTAAGATTTGCAAATTTGTGTGCAATTATCTCATTTGATCTTAACCCTGTAAAGTACCCTTTAAATAATCCGTTATGATTTTTTTTCTTGTTTCTTTCCAGTAGTACTGGTTCAGTATTATTTTTTTCCTTTGCCTACAAAATGGTTGCTATTCAAATTTTGAGTATTATTAATCCCATTTTAAAGATGGGAAACTGAGGTTCATAGAGATTAAATGAGGTCACATAACTAGTAAGTATCCCAGGCAGGATTCAAACTTGGGTCCTTCTTGACTCTAAATCTACTATTCTATTGATTATGCTACACTGCTGCAGTTTAAGGAAACAGAAAGTATAAAATCACTGATTTCTTCAATTTGTATGTACTCTTCCCCTTGTCTTCTCTTCCAGTTGTTTAATATGGCATTGCTTTCATTCAATATCATTGGCAAGAGGTCAGTAATTTCAGTAATTTACTTCGATGGTGAAGTAAAACTAGCAAGAGTCAAAGAAAACTCTTCCTTTATTTTCCTGTCAATTTTTTTCTCCTCATGATGGACATAATTCTTCTGTCATAGAGCCATAATCTAAGTCTGGTATATAGCGTATGACTTTTGCCTAGAAAACTTTGAAATCATGCCCTTCTCAACCAAAATGGAAATGGAGTAATTTGTCTTTAAGAAAGAACACATGCAGAGGTGCTCCTGGAGGACATAGCGGGCACAAGGAAGGCAAAGCTAAAGCTTTTTTTAAACAGAGCGTATATTGTGTGTCTCGTGCCCAGCGGCACTAGGTATATGGTTTCCTGCTATTATGCATAATCCGGAAGCAGTAAAATGTACCATCTCCAAAATAGGGGAAATCATCATATTATAGGATGAGCTTTCTCAGTAAAGTGGAGTGTGATATTCATGTAGTTATATCTTCTGCTTCTTCCAAATAATTTTGGAAGACTATAAGTTATTTTAATGAATAATTCTAATTTATTAGCTAATATTTTAGCATAATCCCAGCATCCTTATGAAGTATCTTGTTAAGAAATAAAAGAGGATATGCAGTTAAATAAATTAACATGTAAGCATATTCCAGTGTTATTTTATAATTTGAACCAACAAATCTTTGTCATTATTAGGAAGTAAACATTCAATCCCTTTAATCTCTGGGGCAACAGCTGTACAAGTAGCACTCTTTAGTGGCCTGAAAGCACCAAATTAAACTTTCTCTTTCTACACTCATTTTTTTTCCCTTCCTGATATTTTAATTTAGAAACAGGAGATTTAAGTATTTGCTGAAATTGCTACTGGAACACTTAAAGTCTTCACTTAACATTTCATTAAGGAGAGATTTTTTTGGTTAAAGAAAAAAATGAACAGCTTTGTTTTGTTAAATCAGTCAAATGCCTCATGTTTGTGTGTGCACATCTGTGGCTGCCTTCCACTGTTGGTTTATTTCTTAACCACCTAATCATTCTGTGGTCTGCCTTGCCCTTTAAACAATCCCTTATGATTTTTTTTTTCCTGTTTCTTTCCAGTAGTACTGGTTCAGTATTATTTTTTTTTCCTTTGCCTACAAAATGGTTGCTATTCAGATTGCTTCATAACTTCTCTGGCAAATAATAGCAAAAGACTTGATTAGAGTCACAGCTTTGGTAAAATTGTGTGTATATTGTGCCTGATTTCACACTTTCTTATTCAAGTTTGTCTGAAAAATTTTTATAGGGAAGTTTAATTACCTTGAGATACTTATATATTGTATGTTATCTCAGGTTACTTTATACTGTCTTTCCTATGTGTTCATAAGGATTTTGTTGGCTTCTACATTTTAGTGAGTCTTTTCTGGTACCTTTGATTTGCTTTATGGTTCCAGGTACATGTGCATCTTCTCACAAGATGAAATATCTTATAATAGTGTAATAAAGACTTTTTGATAATATTCAGCTAATTTTTCCCTATATTGTGTTTGTTCTATTCAGATGTAACTCAGGGGTCATGGGGTTTCCATCACACTTATTACCGTTGACACATTTAACTTTCTGCTTTGGGTAAATGATGAGCAGAAATTTTTTAAAAAGATATTTTTTCTAGAATAAGATATTAATTTTAAACCTGAAATGTAGTTTTAGCAAGGACCCAAAAGCCCAATAGATTTGGGTATATTTGGGTTTTCTTTTTAAGGAAGGTTTGAGCAAAGTCCACTAGATTAATGGGGCCTTTTTCTTTTTTTAAAGTCCTTTCTGTTGAGAGTTCTTTCAGTCTAGTTGGCTCTTTGTTACCATCCCTAATTTCACTTGGCACAATTAACAGTTCTCTGTCTCTCAGGCTGCTTGGAAGATGGACAGGAACAGGTATGCTTTTGTTCCAAAGAATTTCTTCAGTAAAGAGTTCCCTCTTCTAAACTTGCAAGCAGAAAGGGAAGAGGAAAAATTTTCTCAATTAGCTGCCTTTATTGTCATCCATTTATTCTACAGATTTGTCCTGAGTGCTTACTATTTGGCAGGCACTGAAGTCATACCAAGATGAAGGGCAGACATAAAGCTTCTGACCTCAGAGAGCCTACAGTCTGATAGAACAACTTTAGTATTGCACAAATAAATATAACCTAGACTGTGATAACTGCATAAGAAGATCTAAAATGCCATGAAAGTTCAGGGAAAGGAAGAGATCATTTTACTGATACCATAGACGGCTTTGATATTGAGAAAGGTGGCACTGGATGTTGAGGAAGGATGACACCATTGTTTTAAATACCTACTTATTTTCCCACAAACAGCTTTGAAAGTCTTTGTCCTAAAATGTGATATGTGGTTTTACTGGGCTTCTCTTTACATCATATTCATCATGTTTTAAATGTTTTGGAGAATAACATTTTTGGCAACAAGTAGTATTCTGTACATGTAAATCAACCAAGTTTTTATAAAGGGTCTGTTTCTAAAATATTTTATTTTTCTTAATGGATTTAACACATTAACTGTTTTCTTAATAGATCCTACGCAAATGGGAGGCCTAAGCATGCTGCTTTTGGCCGGGGAACATGCTCTGACTGCACAAGAGGTAAGACATTTTCATCTCCCTTTCTGCTCCTGTGCCTTGGAAGAGTAAAGACTAACTCTCTTTGAGAAAATTGGTGTATTCATGCTGGGTATTCCTCATAAGCATTTGGGGCCCTGTAATTCCACTTTCTCGCAAGCTAATGAACAGACTGTATGTATAATTATTCTTATTAAAATGTTGGCATTAACAGTTTTTCAGTAAGAAAAAAATATATTAGGTGGCAGAAATAATTCCAGTAGGCTTCATATACAATTGAATTAGGCAGCTGTAAATTTTTGGGCTTCTTGTGGCAAGGTATTAAACATAATGTACAGGTAATTGGCACTTAGTGTTGTCGCATTCTGTGTAATGAACTGCAGGTGTACAAAGTCCTAGGATTCATGTAACACTACTAAAAAAGACTACCTTTGCATTACTCTAGTTCAGAGTTCTTAGAATGCAGAAGATCGAGGGGGAGGGGACAGGGGAAGGGAGAAGAATATTAAGAGAAGGAGTTTATGTGTTATTCTGTTGCTTAATTTATTCTAAAACCCTGATGAAAATATTAGGAACATGGAGCTTAAGGATTTATTGATTTATTCCTTGGAAAAGAAAAAGAAAATGTTTTGTGGTCTTTAGGTTTTCATCATCCCTTCATTGTTTGCATTTGCTTTAAGAAGATGATAAGATACTGAACTACCCCTTCTAACCAATCATTTTTTGTTTTTGTTTGGGGAGACAAGTAGTGATACTTGGATCTGGGAAATTCAGAGCTCACTTAACAAAGACTTAGCTTCTTAACCAGGAAGTCATAGTGGCTAATTCACAGAGTTCTTTTAACTTGAATTATCACATTTATCAGGTTACATAAGCCTAAAGCAAGATAAATCCAAGTTTAGTTTAATTTGGCATCTAGAGGCAGCTAGGTGGTACATTGTATGAAGTGCCAGACCTGAGTCTGGAAGACCAAAGTTCAAATTTGGCCTCAGACACTTCCTAGCTGGGTGACCTTGGGCAAGTCACTCAACCCTGTTTGCCTCAGTTCCTCATCTGGAAAATGAGCTGAGAAGGAAATGGAAAACCACTCCAGTATCTTTGCCAAGAAAACCCCATTTGAGGTCATAAAGAGTCTGATATGACTGAACTGAAATATTTTTTCATGTTTCAACTTTTGAGTGTTTATTATATAAAATTTTATTTTTTATATTTTATTTATTTATTTATTTATTATATTATTTATTTATTATATAAAATTCAACTCTATAACCATTTGGCCAAGACCTTGGCATGCTTTATAGACTAATCATGTTATTTATGATTATGTTAATTTTGACATGTTTTCTATAAATGGTTATTGAGGATTGAGGAAGGTGGCAGAATTTGTCTATTAGTATATAGGCAATCCCTGCTTTCATTTTTCTGTCCACTTGATGTTACCTAATAAACATGTATGCCTACCTTCTCCTTACTCAGTGATGTTTACTTTGAGGTAAATGCACTTCTGTGGATTGCAAACATGCAGATGAGAGGAAAGATGGCACCCTACTGATGTATGATCGCCATCTATTGGTAAGATGTGTCACTGCAGGCAAGTCATGAGCCAAGTATGTCGGAGAGAGAGCTGAGACAACATTAACAAGATTCTGAGTTTTCTAGGAATGAATCACTCTATGATAGCAGAAACCACTATAACTAGCTAACATACAATCATAAGCTTTAAAAAATAAAAGTTGCGTTAGAGATCAACTGGGCTAACTCAAGAGTTTTTTCACAGCAGCTAGATCAAGTGCTGGGCGTAGAGATAGGAAGACTTATCTTCCTGAGTTCAGATCTGGAATCTGACACTTACCAGATATATGGCCCTGGGTAAGTCATTCAGTCCTGTTTGCCTCAGTTTCCTCATCTGTAAAATAAACTGGAGAAGGAAATGGCAAACCACTCTGGGGTCTTTGCCAAGAAAACCCCAGGTGGTGTCACAGAATCAGAAATGGCTGAACTACAGCAGCAACAGTGCCTTTATCTTACAGATGAGGAAACTCAGGCCTCGAAATAGAATCTAAGGTCACACAGCTCAGTAAATGACAGAGCTGGCTTGAACCCAGGTCTTCTGACTGACTCAAAGCCCTGTGCTTATTTCCACTAGACCATATTTGTCCCATTGACACCTGTCAGGGATAGTCAAGCCATTGTTGAAAGTGCTTGATGTTAGTGGTGTCAAATTCAAATGAAAATGACGGCCGCCAAACCATACATAAGGATGCCTGGGGGCCGCGTATTGACTTAAAAAATAATATATTAACATTGTCTATGTTATATTGTGAAAATATATTTTGTTCAATATTTCTCATTTATATTTTAATTTATTTCAAGGGCACTCCAGAGTGTTTTGTGCTCAGTTTTGACACCTCTGAGATGGTATTAAATCAGTACTGCTGGGAAGTCCCACATGAAAAATTTTGGACAAAGGTGTTGCCAAATGTGTTTATTATTAGACAAGTCACCTGACAAGTGCATTTTTACAATTGTTGCATTTCACTGTCTTGAGAAGACATTTAGTATCCTGTGAATGGTGTTGTGCAGGATTTTATAGAAAATACACAGAAAGTGTCCCTGACCTTTTAGGGAATGATAAAATAACAATAGTTATTAATGAGCATATGATAAATATAGAGTAAGAATACATGTCTACATCCACAATATGTGTAACTATGTGGAATGATAAGGTAGAGGAGAAGCAGAATGTTATATCTGGAGTCAGGAAGACCTGTGTTCAACTTCCACCTCTGATACCCTCTGAGTTTGTTTCCTCATCTCTAATAGAGGGCTAATAATATCTTTAAGTGTTTACCTTACAGGGTAGATAAGGGGCCCAAATGTGGTAACGCATGGCGAGTGTAAAGTTCAAAATGTTACATAAACATTAGTGATTATCTTTGTTTAGGATCATAAATTTAAAGCTGAAAGTGCCAATAAAGGGCTATCTGGTTCAGTTCCCAAATTTTACAGAGGTGGAAACTTGGACTTAGAGAGAATTAAATGATTTTCCAGATGTCATAAAGGTACTAAGTGTCAGGGGTGGGATTTGAAATAAGGTCTTCTAACTGCAGAGGCTGTGATCTTTCCACTATACCACAAACATTCCAGGTACCAGGAGCAGTTAGTGTCAGCTCAATTGAGGAGAACCAGTTGAATATGAGAGTTAAAAAATATATATTTATTTTTAACATTCTTTTAAAAAAAAACCTTTGAGTTACAAATTTTTTCCTTCCGTCAAGCCCCTCCCCCACCCATTGAGAAAGCAAGCAATATGATACCAATTATACATGTGAAATCATGCAAAACATTTCCATATTAGCCATGTTTTGAAAGAAAGAAATAAATTAATAGTTACATAAAAGGGAAAAATATACTTCAATTTGCACTCAGCCCATCAGTTCTGTCTCCGGAGGTGGATAGCATTGAATATGATATTTTAAAAAATGTCCAGATCCAGTGCCCACCTTAGTCATGGGTTTTTGCAAACTCACAAGGTCCTGCTAATGGCAGAGTCAATGACAAAGAAAACCTTCACTTTTCCCTTCGCTGCCCCTCTTGCACATTGGGTACATTCTCCCACAAATTCCACACCACTGGTGGAGAAGGGGACACATGGGGCCAAGGCAAATGATGCTTGTAGGACTGTGGTCAACTTGAATCCCTCTCTGTCTCCACTGCTGTCATTCTCAAATGTTTCCACTCCGTCTCCCAGTCATTTGCTGGTCTGGTAGTATCATGCAATTCTGGAATACTGTGCAGGAAACTTATCCTGGCCTTGCTTTAGCTTCTATTCACTCCACTTTGCTCCCACCTGCTGGCCTGTCATAGTATTGTCATCTAATAGTATCTGCCGGTCAGCTCCATTTAGTGCTGTTAGTGCTCTCTGCTGCCATCTGCTGGTCTTTTGCTGAATTTCAACTGCTGTGTAGCTTCTCGTCACAAAGGGTCATAGTTTCTCTTTTTGTGTTAGACCCAGAGCTGTACCATGTCAGCCAGCACGAGCTAGCAGAAGCACTCAAACTTAAATTAAGTATGTCTTTTGGACTGCTTTTTTTCTACTTCAGCTACTATTCCTTTCAATTCCCATCATGCTCCTGAGCCCATGCAGATTACCTTGGAAGCTTAGTTTATTTCACAAAATTGCCGATCTCCTTACATGTCTACAATACAGAGTACTGTACAATAGTCATCAAAGACCTTATAACGACATTATATTTCCAACATTATTCTTGGAGCAGACCTTCTTCATCAATAGAGGCATTCCAAAGAGATTGCCACTATAATAAACACGCTTATAGGCAAAGGGTAAGAAATGCCACCTGACTATTATTGTACTAAACTGTATAATACCTTGTGGGGTAGAATGGTTACTAAAAAGCAAATTAGTGAAAGTCCATATAAAAAAGATTATCAAGAGTGCTGTATTTCTTAGATCTAGTAAAAAAAACTCATGGGCTTTAGAGAAGTATGTTACTGATAACCATGAGATCATTGTGAAAAACTTGACCATAAAATAACTTTCAATATCTTTGGGTTTTGATTTCATTTCTCTCCTTTTTCTTTATACCTACCCTAGTAGACAGTTGAATTTAGTATTGTCAGGTTTCTGCCCTTCTTTGTTGTTGTTCAGTTGTTTCAGTCATGTTTGAGTTTTCTTAGCAAAGATACTTCAGTGGTTTGCCATTTCCTTCTCCAGCTCTCTTTACAGATGAGGAAACTGAGGTAAACAGGGTTAAGTGACTTGCCCAGGGTCACACAGCTGTTTGAGGCCAGATTTGAACTCAGGAAGATGAGTTTTCCTATGTCTGGGGCAGGTACTCTATCCATTGTGTCACCTAGCTGCCCTAGTTAAAGGCTTGGAGAGCCAAAATTCCTAAATCAAGTCAATATGTTAGGATGTTAATTATCAAATAGATGTGAAATTCATCTCTAGTGGTTAGAACACTTAAACTGGACTAAAGGAGATCAGGTTGCTTTCCTTAATTCAGCAGATTTAGCACTCCTTGCCAGGGATTTCATTATTGTTCTCTTTTCCCCCCACTTGTAAGATAGAGCTAATAATAATAATACCTGTCTACCACCTAACTCCCAGGGCTATTGTATAGATTAATTAGTTAAAGTCTGTGAAGCTTTTTTAACTCCAGAGAAAGGCATTCTTGTAAGCACACAGCACTATTATTATTATTATCATAAGTTATTCTGGACATTTTGGAACTGTACCTGGGAGCTTAAATTGTATCAGCCTATGCTCCCATAGGTGGTAGTATACTTTATCTGCAGCTGGAGGTACTAAAAAAATGGACTCTTAAGCTCATAGATTTAGAGCTTGAAGGGATCTTGGGACCATGTAGCCCAACCCCAAATATATCCTTGTCCTTTGAAAAAGTCCAGTAAATTATTTTTACAGTTTACTATCATTGCCACCAAATGCCCAGTAATTACTAAGGGAAGAGCCAAAATATTAATGCCAACGGGAAACCGTAAGTGCAAAATAAAACTTTAGCAGGTTAGATGAGTTACCACAATTATTAGTGGTCTGAAAATTAATTTTGTATTGAAGCTGAAAACTGAGGACCTGGTTCCCCTAGTGCCATGTCTTGTGTGTATATTTGTACATGCATATTAACAAATCTTTAACGTGATTTCTCTGGTTTCAAGGTGACTTCCTTGGTCATGTACCTGTAAAGGAAAAATAAGAAAGTCTATTTTGAGGCCCCTCCTAATTTAAAACTTGACTTTTAGACAACTGTGTGTTTCTTATAATATTACAATATGAACTGTTTCACAACTTTTTTTGGTGGGGGGGGAGTGGAGAAACTAGAGTGGCTAATTTCAAGTAAAGGACTCCTGGTGAGGAAACTCTACCAATGCACGTCTATGATTTAGAATTCTGTAAAGTTGCTTGGGGACACTTAAGTTTTCCAATTTTACCAGTTCTTTATCTAGAATCTCACATTACCTCTGTTTCTAACCTGTAAAAAAAATACCTTCTGCATGAGTCCTCTGTGATAATGCCAGACAGTCTCACTATTGTGAGATTTATTATTGGTAAAATTGGTAGGAGCTACAGTATGGAACTAATTAATGGTCAGTCTCTGTTGCCCAGTGCCCATTGTTCATATTATCTGATAAGCCAATGCTCAAGTGAAAGAATAACCCAATGAGTGAAAAAAAGATGGAAGAAAGGAAGGAAATAAGTATTTATTCTTGTTTGATCCTCACAACAACCTTAGTAAGTCGGTGCTTTTATTACTCGAATTTTTTTATTTAATTTTTAATTTATGGAATGAAACAAGCATTTCCATAACATAGTACAATAAAAAGATGATTGCACATGAAACTGCAAATCTGATATAAACAACTTGCTATTACTTTCAAATATACCACAAAATTATCATGTAAATTTAATTTTTTTTTTTTACTTCCCTCCCCCCCTACCCCTTGCCCTAAAGGGTACTGAGGCAGACAGAGGTTAAATGACTTGCCCAGGGTCACACAACTAGCTAGTAAATGTCTGAAGCTAGATTTGAACTCAGGTCTTCCTGACTCCAGAACTCTATCTACTGTACCACCTAGTTGCTTCTAGACTATTATACAATAATGAAATATGGTAGTCAATTTACATTAATGGTACCACACATTTATATAGCATTTAAAACTTTATACTGTCCTTTTTTTAAAAATTTTTTTATACTGTCCTTTTCTTGCAGTCACCTTATAATGTATGAATCTTTCCCAGTCTTTCCCGAGAAGTCCTTTATCATAACATATTTTTTTTTGTATTCTTCACAATGTCCAACATGGTCCTGCATACGTAGGAACAACTAAAGAAAGACCAGTATTTCTCACTTTTTGGTGTAGTGTTACTGAAAAAATGTTGGAAAAAGAGAATTGCAAAAATAAAAATTATTTCTTCTGTGTTGTGTAGCGTGCATCTGTCTTTTTGCTACTTGATAGGGATGATGCATTGTTGAGTAGGTTTTCATGACTTTATCCACTCATTATCAAATGAAATAATATCTGTAAAGTGCTTAGTATAGTGCCTGGAACGTAGTAGGTACTTAATAAATGCTCATTCCCTTCTCCTTCCCACAAAACTGACTAATTAGAGCCCCAGCTGACAAATAAACACATCAGTGGTTTGCAAAGTGAAATAAAGGTGATATTTAAGGACTATTGAATGAATAGATCATTGAAATTCGAGGGGATGAAAAGTAGGATTTGTCGGCATTTATTGACTAAATGAATGAGTAAATGAGTGGTGGTAGCCTCATTTTAAACCTTGTTTTAAATCTAAAAAGTATAGATTTAGAAAAACTGGTGGATGTTTTCTCATTCATCAGTCTAGTTTCTAAAATCTATGATAGCACTAGAGACAACTTGATTTTCACATACATTAGACCTTTTAGTACAGTTTTATGTATGGTTATATCAAGCATGACTCTTCCAGTCTAAGGCAGAGGTTCATTTCAATAAAGAACAAAACAAAACATGTTCTCGTTGTTTCTTACTAATTATAAAGCTTTATGGAAGAACCACTTTATTTGCATCCTACTATGGCATGATCACCGCTTTTGACAAAGAGTGAGTACAGATGACCTCCCCCTCTCTCCCTTGGCAATTGCTAAACTCTGCCGTGAGATGGAAGTACAATTAGTCAGGAACTGCAAATCCAGCCGCAGAATGGTTGGGAATCCCTGTTGGTTTACCCCTGTCAGCAGAAGCTCATTCAGGAGTTTCAGAGAGCCCCTTTCAAAATCTCATTTGACAAGCTGGTCATGCTGTAAATGAGACCCTAGCTTGTATAGTTAAGTACAGTTGTTGAGCATGAGTAATGTCTCTTTTTAATACAAAGGTGGTGATAGTAGTAGATTCTTGACTAGGGATGGGTTATAAGGTAGACATCAAGATAACTATAGAAAAAGGGAGGGACAGAGATGGAACAAGGCATTGCCATTGTGGATACACTACAGTTCTTTGTTGACTAGATAAAGATGGACCAGATGGTCTTAATTCTAAATTCAGTTTAATTTGCCTGACCAATACCTTGCTAACAACAGGCTAGAATCAAATAGTGAGCATGGGTTACCTAATCTAACTAAAAAGGTTTGCTTTCCCCCCTCCCCCTCTTCCATTCATGTTGATATGTACCGATGTCCCAGAATATGTACTGGCATAGCTGTATGGGCTTTGTTTAAATCGTGTTGTTGTTGTTGTTTTTATTTTGGTTCTCTTTTCTGTAAAATAAAGGGTTGGGATTAGGTAATTCTCAGGGTACTTAAAAGTATATATGTATGTCTCTCTCCCTTCCCATCCAACTAACTTTTTCTAATGAGCTACATTGGGCTTTTTTCCGCTTTTAAATGTATTATTTTGTCTTCTTTTGACAATATCCTATAAGAAAAGTAGAATATAGTATTGTTAAGGAAACTGAGGCATAGAGAGATTCAAGTGATTTTGTCTTAGAGCAGTTCTTCATATGGGGTCTGTGAAAATTAATTTTTAAAAAATATTTTGGTAATTGGAATTCAACATTTTTTCCTTTGTAATGTTATATGTTTTTTATTAATTTAAAAGCATTATTCTGATGAAGTCCATAGGTTTCACCAAACTGCCAAAAGTGTCCATGATACCAAAAAAAAAATCTAAAAATCTGTGGTCTAAGGTCATGCTGCTCCCATGCGGCAGAATTGTTAGTAGTTT